CATTAAATTCCAGTGAAATATATTTATGTTTGTGGTTGTAATGTGACAAAATATGGAAAAGTTCAAGGGGTATGAATACTTTTGCAAACCACTGTAGTTATTAAAGTATAAACTTTCATTTTTACTCATGAACGATGTCAGGGCGCAGAAATCTTTACCATAGACGTCTAATGTTAACTCCTGGGCATGCACAATAGGTTCTCAATGCTAAATAATAGGGAGTCTTTGGGCGCACAACGTGATCTGCACACCGGTAGTGGGTCGACGTTATGTTCAGTGGGGCAGGATGGAGCAAACCCAGTAAGCTAATGGAGGAGCTAACAACTCAGCTGTCTCTTATAACAACCTTTTTCATAGTGATGGCAAAAGGAGGCTTTATGAACCAATGGGGCTTTTCAGCTCAAAGGTTCCTCAAAATGTTCATTACCCAAAGCCTCGTTGACTTGTTCTCACTAGTGACACCTGCTGTGCAAAAGGATATATAACAGACTTAATTAACCCTGAGTCAGAGGATCCTGGAATATCTGTGTGTAAAATAAAATATATTTTGCCACATCTCAATGAATATAAAATTGTGTTTTTACATGGAAATATTGAGTCATGTGATGTTGAACATGTAAAATAAATACTTAAAATAAATGCTTGTGGAACTGAAAGACAGGAAACTGCAACAGATGCAACAAATATAAATTACAGATTTTTATTGAAAAGAAGCTTTTTAACAGTGTTGGGGTTGAGTCAATTCCTTAGACACAATTTCCCCAGCCTTTGAGCTACTACAAATAAATGGACTTTATTTCATAAAGCACATTTTAATGGGGATTTACTGTACATTAATACAGAACCTTCATTTACTAAACACACACAGAATTTGAAAAAAAACAAAACAGATAGTACCAAAAACAATGTATTATTCACTCCTTAGTCTTAAACTACCCCCCTCCCACCCCCACCCTAAATTAGCATCTGTACCCGTAGGTAAAATGCACATTTGGTCCCCACGAGGCAGCCTTTTTCTGCAATTCGGTTCCCATGATGTAGTAAAAATGTGCTGACACACACACATCCTTGTATTTGCATCATACTGAGGACATTGTATTGACTTCCATTCATTTTTCTAACTGTATTTATGCCTAACCCAGACATTTTCCCTAAAACTAATCATTACTGGTCTATGGATAATTCTAACCTGAACCAGAACTTAATTCACACCATTCCACTATAATACTAAAGTTACAAAAATGTCTGTGTAAAGTGAGGATCTTTACATCAAAGACCTCACTTTAATAGTAACTATTTTGCAAGTGGTCCTCACTCTGTAGCAGAAACACACACACACACACACACACACACACAC